CAAGCAAGAAATAGAAAACGTGATCGAAGTTTGATTTTGCAGTTAGGTAGAGAAGAGCAATCATTTCTGATCAAAACAGAACAAACCCGATCTAAAAATCTTTTGTTTTGATGGAGTTACGAGACTTTCACTGGAAGCACCATCATACGAAGAGAGTTCATGGTTAATTTTTCTTTTTTGTGAAGCACATTTCTAAGTCTATAACTTTCTTACTATGTGAGCTAGCGGGATCAATCAAAAGCCGTTTTGTAGAGCGTGTTTTACTGCGTCTTTTCATCGTAGAGAGAAATTTATAAACATGTGTTTTACTTTAGAAAAATTATTATACAAATCGAGTCAGGACTTCTGGGCCACCCTTTATAATCCAAGAATGTAAGGACATCCAAGCTTGGAAAGTTCATAGGTACGTTTGATCAGTTAGGACCTGTGTTGTCAAAGATTACTGTGTCAACTGTGGTGAACATGGTGTGTGAACATCGTTTGTGGATTTATCACTCGGCGCAGTCAGACTTTTTTTGACAAGCGTGGTCTGTCTTAGTACAAATCCGTCATTTTGGAGACTAAAGATACTGAAGGACATAGTAGAATCGATAATGATAGGAGCGATGATAAAACGTCACCTTTGTTCAAGTAAAACGTATTTTATCAAAAAATACTTTCGTGTTTTCGAGAAACGCTCGTAGTCACTTTTCCAAGAAGAAAATCAAGTAACTCGTCATGCTTTTTCTTCTTCATTCTTCTTAATAAATAAATGTTTTTGATATCTGTGTACATTAACATCTCACTATTAAAGTGATTTCATCACCGGATGGAACGGGAGAGAAAAAAGCAAGCGGGAAAACGCAGATTCGAGTAGATTCCACGGCACTTCGGAGTACTTCAGATTTCCGTGAAGCCACTCAGAGCCTTCTCGAAATTTTGAAAAAGAGCTTTCTCTGATGGATCTGTCAATATATGAACGTTACTAACTAAGTAGACATGTTAGTAAATGTATAATACACTTCTGTTTATTTATGACGGCTGAATAGAAACAAAATACAAACAGATGAAATAAGTACTGCTTTTATTCTCATTTAGTTGCTTCTATTACTCTTTAATAGCAAATCAAATGTTAAACGATTATTTTATCCGTTAAAAAACAGTAAAAGGTTTCATTATGTTAACATTTAATAGCATCATCCGTTTATATTCTAAAATATGAACTTTCTAAATTCGAATTTATTAAATCATAAAGTGGTATACTACAATAAGTTGTTTTTGTAGTTGTTAACATTTCCTCATCATTATCATCAGAACTGCTATTTGTCCAGTGAAATAAATCATATTATAATTCTAGTGGAGAAAACTTCTAAAGGCAAATCTGTTTAGCATTCGCATTAGAGGTGAAAATGTTTCCACACGAAAGATACCATAGCTTCTTGGTTACCACCAAGGAATCTGCCTTCTCTTATTTTCGCCGTTTTGTACTACATGTATCAGGTTGGCAAGAAAGTTCTGTCGTTTTTTTCGAATTTTTATTTTTATTTTTTTTCTTTCAAACATCTAACTAGTTTTCGATGATATATGCTCCATCGCTATCTACCACCTGTCGTCAACGCTCCGGTAGAGAAAAGATCCTGCGTTCGTAAAAGTGCGAAGACTTCTGGCTGAAAAAGTCCACCAAGTCCGTTTTGAGTTCGCTTTCGTCATCGAACTTTTTCTCACGCAGGTGATTGGAGAAGGATCGAAACAAGTGATAGTCACTAGGAGCCAAGTCCGGAGAGTAAGGTGGATGGGGAATGGTAACCCATCCTAGCTCCAATAATTTTTTGCGCGTCGACTTTGCAACATGGGGCCTTGCGTTATCGTGTAAAAAATAAACCCGATCTTGTTTACCCTTAAGTTTTTGTGCAACACGATCCAGTTGCTCACCGTCGAGATCGGCGGTGACGGTACATCCAACCGGTAGCAGCTCCCAATGAATGATTCTTTTAACGCCCCACCAGACACTCAACATCACTTTCTTCGGATGGAGATCGTTTTTCGGTGTTGCTGTACCAGTTTGGCCGACGCCAAGCCATTGACGCTTGCGCGTATGATTAACATACAGCACCCACTTCTCATCACCAGTAATGAGATTGCGCAGCCATTCGTAGTTACGATGAGATGTCAGTAAATCCATACAAACATCATATTTCCACGTCTTTCCCAATTCGTTCAAATGTGTTTCGATCGTGGTATGGAAGCATCCGAGCTGCTTTGCTACGCAGCGTGTTGTCAACCGAGGATCGTCTTCAATAAGTTGTTTTAATTGGTCCAAATCTATTTCGGTCGGTCTTCCAGAGCGAGGTGAATCGTCCAACTCAAAGTCCCCATTGTCGAACCGATTGAACCAACGCTGTGCCGTACGTGTGGAGATAATATCTTGGCCCATTGTCCTACATATGTTGTTCGTTGCTTCCGTTGCTTTATGACCCAGAAAGAATTCATGCAGTAAAAGCACTCGAATCTCTCTCCGAGACAAGTTAATTTCTGTTTCACGATCAACGTCCATATCAATAGCTGTTATATAGTTCGATAGCTACTCACTCTCCCTATATATATCCTCCATATTGAAACTTCCAGAGCATTCTCAAAGTTCTGTGAAAATTTGGAAAAAAACGACAAAACTTTCTTGCCAATCTGATAGAAAAAGCGACATGAAGTTTGCCTTTAAACTCAAAGTTTCCTCAATTGTTTGAGGAAAACGTCAGTCATCCGATGATAAAATTTTAAGGATAGTAGATTCTTGTTTTAACCCCTCATAATAGAAGACCACTGCCGAATATATGACTTGAAAGCCAAATAGAAGACCATGGGCTTCTATTATGTCCCCGAAAAAACTCGGAAGATGCCCGCCCTACCGGGAAATTTTGAAAAAAGTTTCGCCAGAACATACTTCAAATAGGGGATGGACTTCAAGTACGTGGGAGTTAGCGTTGAACTACTAGCAGGCGACAAAATTTGACCGCAATAGAAGACTACCCTTTAGAACTCGACTTGCGGGACAAAACAGAAGACCAGATGGACTCCTATTATGGGGGAGGGTAGCGAATGTGCTTGTGTCGATACAGATAGAACTAACACCAGGAAAGCTTGAGCATTAGCTGAATTATTCACACACTAAAACATCGGTTGAAAACCGTGAGATCATGAAGGCTTGTGGCAAATTAAAGCTCGTCGAGTGTCTCGGCTATACGTGCTACAATATCTACAGAATTTTCTGGATTCTCTCTACAGACGCCCAGTAGATATATTGGTTTCTCAAACTAGAACCGTCGTTGTGGCTCAAACTTAGAATAGAAGCACGACTTGCGATTTTCAGCTTAGAATAGAGAAAAAAGGATATTTCAAAATAATGATAGGCAAAAATGCCTTCCGCAGCTTTGGTAATAATATGTCCTTCCTGTACCATCCTAAACTGAAGTTAAAGATTTGTTAATGGAAGATTTCTAGAACGTCTTCCTGCTCATTCGCCATCTTGTTAACGACAGACAGATACTTTTAGTTTTATGATGATTAACTGACGTTCAAGAGAACACAGAAGGTCTGAGAAGAGAGAAACATACAATTTGTAGAGAAACCAGAATAACAGTAGAGCTGAAGAATACCTTGGTTTGTTTGTAAACAGTTCTTGTTTTCTCTTCCTCGCCATTTAGCTAAACATAATTTTGAGATTACAAAGCATGTTTTAAAACTTTTTTCGTATACATGTGCCATGTTTAGCAAATAAAAAGGTGAGTTTAAAAAGAATACGATTATTCTGGTTTTATTTCCTTTATTCGCTTTCGATAATGGGACAACAAATTGGTAGATTAGCCGCTGTTGATTTTGGCATCCAGTTTATTGGATGGGCAATATCAGCGTATTTCCATACAGAAACGTTTTATGATCTCACCGGTAAATAAATTCTAGCTTCTTCGAAACACGCAAAATCGTATGGGAGAAAATAAGGAAGTTTGCGACTGTTAAGGTAGCAAAATTCAATGTCGCCCAAGAGCGTAAAAACGGGTAAAAAGACGGGGTCCGAAAACCAAAAAAACGGCCCGTAATATTTCTCATTGAACGGGTCCGCCTCCCATTTGTTACGGGGTGACGGGGTCTGAACGGTTCCAAAATACGGGTATCCCGTATAACTACACGTTCTGCATCTAAGAAATACGGGGTCTTGAAAAATGATTTCTTATATCTTCGAAGCGTCGTGTGGTTACCTGTTATACTCTTAGACGCCTTGACATGTAAAATTAACTTTTGTGTATGTTCTATCCTAGGCAGTCATTTTCTGCTCGAAAAAC